GGCGGATCTAGAAAAATATTCATGTTGTGTCCAGAAGGCAGCATGGAGATTTTAAGGAATGGCAGAAATATATGCTGATTCAATCACAAACAATAACATATATCAATATTTGCTTGTAAAATGAAAATATTTGAACTCAAAAACATGACATTATTGTGGCACATAAAACACTGAATAGAAATATCTAAAGGTGGCATTAGAAATCAATACATTGTTTTATTTCCAAATTTTCTTCATTGAAATTGCATTGTCTCTTACTCCATAACATATCATTAAATACATTTCTGTTTTGTAACACACTATTTTTAAAATTAATTAAAAGTTAGTTAGTTAAATTTGGGTGGCCAGGCTTTTTTAGGGTTGACCACCCTATGCCACCCCTGCTTGTCACCTTTTGGTATTTTTAACCATTTTTCTTCCATTTCACCAACACATTTTTTATTAGCTAAAGTTGACGATCTTCATCAGATATTTACATATTTACTGGAGGGTGAAACTGCTGTCAGACTGAGAACCAGAATAAGAATCAGGGGGTACATACTATAAGTCCTAAGACCAGTGGCAGTATGTAGAGTCTTGGCAGAGTTTCATCTGCAAAAGCGAGTGGAACAGACAGCAGCACCTGGAATAGCCCCAACAGGATAGTCACCACCTGCATGGACACAGAGATTGGGAGTTACACTCTGATCCTTTTAAATTTAAATAAAGTTGACTCCACTCATACTGACTGGTGTCCCAAGCTCACCGCAGTAGCTTCAGGGTCAAACCAGGTGAACAGGCGATGTAACCTGGGTCCAGCTGCCGGCCCCACCTCAGAGGCCATCTTACTGCACAACTGGAAGCTAAAGTCAGAGACAACTGAACAGTAGAAGGTGAAGGGGGGGGGGTCAAGAACGCTGTATATCAGTTACATCACATTATAGTCATTTGGCAGTAGGCATGCAGTAAGAGAGTGACCACAGCACTGACATCCTAGGTACACTACTATGACTAAAAGGATGCTTGGATAATGCTGCATAGCGTCAGACATAGGGCTGTGGATTTGATACCACAGCCTCCTGTGTTGTGGTGTCTACTAATATCCCTCTCTAATGTAAACTGTGAGCACCTGTTACAATGTTAACTTAAAGCCTTGCATTAAACATTTATGTTCCCTCTGATTTCCCCTACATTAAAACTTGCAGGTTGGATGAAAATGCAACGGTTCATTAAAGTGATTGCACTGTGGGAAGAAAATCTTGTCCAGGGAAATAATGTGGTCGTTAGAGAATAATGTCTGAACAGCTATAATGAGAGAGAAAGAGGAGCAGACTGTACTAGAAAAGAAGAATGAATACACCCAAAGAACAACAGACACACCACGTGATTATGACACACTTCACTGGAACTGCAGATGGCAAAGATAAGTGGGAAACCGCGAAAGCTAAGTTGTATTTGTGCAAGTGCACTCATGTGTGTTTCTGTTGCTGGACAGGGAAGAGGGAATTGAGAAATAGAGAAGAGAATGAGGTAGTGAAAGAGGGAAAAAAACGGAACAGAGAGTGAGTGTGTGAGTACGTTAGTTCATCAAAACCACATGTCAGAATCCTCTTAGGAAAGACAGGAATGCTGCAGGATGAGAAGCAGATGTGGTGGGGGGGTGGTGGAGTAAGAAAAGATTGGGGTCTGTGGGAGAGTGGGGGTCATGTTGATGATGAAATGGACTGACAAGGCCCTGTGGAAGTAAGGGGAAACTGTTTACCATTACTAATCTAGAAACAAAGTCACTAATTTTTCTTCACGCACACATTTGTCCATATGTTGGCACATTTGTATTTTCACTTAACCTCACAGTTATCAATGTGGGCCTTTTGGTCAGGGAGTTTGAGGATTTACTTTGAACTGGATCTCCATGTGGTTGTTTTCTGTGTCACAAAACAACAGAATTTGTAGGAAGTGCAATTCTAAATTTTTCTGTGTCAGCACAGAAATGCTGCAGGTATAGACCATGTGCATTAACGTACAGAGGTATATAAAGGTATAACGGTACAGGTATAGAAAGAGGGCATATCTATGTATGTATGTACAGACTGCGGTAACGAATTTCCTGTAAAGGACAATAAAGTATATTATTATTATTATTATTATTATTATTATTATTATTATTATATGTATAGGGTACAGATATACAGAATAAAGACAGGTTACATAGAGGTATAGACAAGGTAAATACAGGTATGACAGACAGGGCACCTACTAGTACAGACAGGGTATCTATGGGTATAGACAGAGGGTATACAAGGGTACAGAATACAGACGGTGCATATGGGTACAGACAGAAGACATACAGGTAGAACAGGGTACATATGGGCATAGACAGAGGGCATACATACATACATGCATAGACACAGACACGGTGCATGCGGGAAAGGCAGAGATGTATTTTGGTAAAACCATAGAAACCAGAGTTGTTATTCAGCTGCTGAACACAGGAGGCAAACTCTATGATACACAGTTATATGACACTATGAAGGTAAGAAGTCCCAAAATCCAACACCAGTGGAGATAGCAAGTGTCTGTCACTGACCGCACCAAGCTCTATCAACCTTAATGTGCCCAACACATTCTCGTCAACTAAAATTGTTGTACGGTGTGAAAACGACATATTATTATATTTTCCCATCTGATGTTGACCTAAATGAGGAATCTGACACAGTGTTTAAATCGTGCCAAAACAATAGAACGTTTCACTCTCCCACTTATGGTCCTAACATTTAAATAGTCATTGCGTGTCACAAAAAGCAGTGTGTCACTTACTTCGACTGCACAGATGCCTGAGACGTCTCCAGATGATACCAACAGAGCACTTTCCTTAAGTCCTTAATTTAGAGAAACGTATAAGGGTGAGAGCGCCGACAACAAAACGGTTTCTGGAACTGAAACTAGGAAAGGAAGGGAAGGAGGAGCTCTGCCAGATCTCATCCAGAGGCAGAGAACCCCCCCCCTTCTCTCTCGCCCTAATAAACACATCCCCGCACGAACCCGCTTGCCAAAAAAGAGAAGTCAGGGAGGCGCATTATAAATTCGGAGTGGTCGAGAGAAGCCCAAACTTATAAAGGAGGACATATTTGTTAACTAATCTCGAGAGGAACAGGTAGGAATAGAACATTTTGTGCTTTCTAATACCTTGACAACAACCTACATTTATCTTATCTTGTTTTAAGCTTACGCAATGCGCTCTAGTCCATTTGTGCGTAATGTGTGCGTAAACGTGAACGATCATCCAGACTGTGTGGCTCATCGTATCCCTGCAAGATGGTAGCAGCCGTAATAGTGCGGTGTAATGCTCTGACTGGACTCAGGCCGAGGTGGGAGATGGTGTTGGACACATCCCAGTATGTTTTCTGTCCAAAAATAAAGGCATTCTGTGCTCAATGCTACCTCCAACTGTATTTGATAAGATTGTTGTACAGTAACATGCTGCGCCACTGGATTATCATCATGTTCTATATCTGTAATACTGTGTAACACTGGGGATTTACCCTGGGGAAATAAACCTTTATCATATCAGAAGGTGGAGAAACAGAAGAGGAGACAATGTTTCCTCATGAAATGGTCCTTTGCTTTTAGAGAGGCAGCCAAATACAGCAACACAACAAACCCGGCACAAACCTGTTACAACTGGGGATAAAAATATATCATGTATCATGTTACAAGCATGCTGTGATCACTATTAGCTGTCACAAGTCTCCAGCTCACAGTCTTAAAGGACCATACCAATGAGTTTTAGATCATGTGTCCTTAAAGCCCCCCTCCAGTCAGAACTCAGTGTTTGTTCTTGTTCCTACAGTGTGTTGTTTGAATGGTGTCTGTGCAGAGTTTGGACACTAGAAGGATGTTGTTCACGGATTCATCGGCCTGCTTGAAAGGTGGAAAGGCTGTTGCTTTGTACTGCATTGAACATCTGATTCCTTCTACAGGGGCGGGGGGCCTGACCAGGCAGGATTTGCTGACAATCATCACAAAGGCGTACGGGGTGTTTGGAAAGTCCGAACCTGGGTCCAGTAGTGGGCACACTTAAAGTGGAAGGGTGGGAATGCATTAAAAGTGTCTAAAACGCAGGCAATATGGTCTTGGAAAAATGATTACGTTATAGTGGGAGGGACGTGATGTGTCTAGCTAAATTAGGCCTCAAACAAGATGTTTTCACGAACAGTTTGTTAAAAGCGTGGAGGAGTTTGTGTTCACATATCTGTTGGATCAACAACATAATTGTGGAACCCGGAGAGACATCAGGTAAGCTTCCAAGTAAGGCTCTGAGTTAAGGGGTGCAGGTGGAGGTGGTGAGAGGGTATGGTGCGCAGGAGGTCTATTGGCAGAAATGGAATATAATATTCACTCCGGACGGTAGTGGTTTGTCGCGATTAGTGTGGATGGAATTGACCTGAATACGTAAAGGAGATCATTGGTGTTTTTGTTCGACCGTTCAGGAGCATGCAGGGCTTGCCTTGTGGTGATGTAGCAGAGTGCCACTGAATATCGGGGGTGGTAACAACGACCGTGGAGCCTTTAGAGAAGTTCAAGAAGTGTGGGCATGATTTCATTGTCTGATCTCGAGGATAACGGCGGGGAGGCCAGTCTGCGGGGGGGGGGCCGGGTGGCGCCTGGGCGGGTCTCGGCTTCCGTAGGGTTTGCGAAATTTATGTCAACGAATGAACATGAGGACAATTCACTTTTGCTTATGTAATGCCGGTACTGTGTTTTTTTAAATAGTTAAAGCTAATAATAGCAGGTAAAGTGGCTAATAGCACTGAAGGGAGCGGAAGTGACCATATGCCTATCAACAATGTTCTGTATTGGTATTTGTAATTTCACTTTATTACGGCTTAGTAATGGATTCTATTTTTAGGTTTAAGGCATTTCTACCAATCGTGTGTGACAAAGCAGATTAATGTGGGCCCCTCAGGAAAAAGCCAAGCAGGCGCGACATCGAAAGAACAGTATAATGGAAGGAGTTGGGCATGGTAGCGGAGTCAGGGCGCAAGTTCTAAGGGGCCGCAAGTTATTGTACAATGATTGGCTTTGCTTGGACTTGCAGGGACATTTGGTCTCTGTTGAATGTGGGGAAAAGGCTACCATCTCTGTCATGCTGTTTGGAAGTGAGCTCATGATTGATCCTCTGGCGGATGATGGCGGTGTCGGTGCCAGGGATCTGACAGTGCAGGTGCTGGAGGATGTGGCGTTGTGAAGCTGATCGACAGCAGCAGGCTCGTGCGCGCTGCATACAGAGATGAGAGCACCAAAATGTCCGTGGGGGGGTTAGTACTCGTACACCGTTCTGAAAATAAGAATTGTTGTGTTTATGTTAACCGCGTGTGAGAATGAAGCTGTTTTACCTAGAGGAGGGCTGAGCATGGCTTGGAACACTATGGTTTTGCGACAGGTAGCCCTGACCGGCGACAAAACCAAGAAATTCCAGCTAAAATCAGGGGAAGATAGGTTCCTGGTTGGAGCCTTGACGCTTAGCACAGAAGACTGGGAAACCTAGCTGCCATCCCAAAAGTTAAAACCAATCAAAAACAAACAAAACAGAAAGTAAGTGTTAGTACATAAAACGCCCGCCCGACGCGTAGGAGTTTTACGTGTCCTCCAAAACCTACTAACGTACCTGCTAGTGTTGGTGGTGGGTCCTGGTAAGTGGAGTTTTGTTTGGTGGTGGTATGTGTGTGGTGAGGGTGTGAGTTCAGCGGTGAATGCTCGGGGGGCTGAGCTGGTCTGTCGCTACTCGCATTCCGTCTGCACTTCACTGAGGCCAACTGGAGGGTGGTCAGGGCTGGGAGTTCCTTGGGCTGGAGGTGGCCCCTGAATGGTGGAGTCTTGTGTTTGTGTGGTGTGTGTGTGGGTGTGGTGGTGTGGTGTGGAGAGAGGAGAGAGAGAGAAGAGAGAGGAGAGAGAGAGAGAGAGAGAGTCTTATTCTGGCTTTTTCATCCTGTTTCTGATCTTTGATTTCTGCCGTAAAAAGGAAAAAAAGTAACAGACACAACCTTTAAAGTCTGTTGGTTTTAAGTATTTGTTGATGTAAAGTGTAGTGTTCCTCTGTGCTCCCAGGGTTCATCAGCAGCAGGAAAGTGGTCCCGGCAAAATCATCTTGGACAAGGCACTGCACCATGAAGATTGTGAGGTTTAATAAACAACACGTACACACAACAAATGGCAGAATAGACAGTGGCTGTGTATGACAGTATATATAAAATGAAACAGAGTTCCAAGTCTGAAAATGAAACTATACCATGCCAGTCTTCTGAGAGAGAGCCGACTTGGCTCACTTAAATTATGAGCTCAGTAAACAGTTTCCTAATGAGTTTATGGTCCTTCAATCTCTAGTTTCAGGTCTTCTTCCATACAACATAATGATTTTGGCGTGGCTAACTTGTGATATTTGACAGGTCATTCTCCAGTGAGGTCGTCCACTCAATGCACCAAACTCAGATCAACTGTCAAACTAGGCAGTTGTTGATCAAATATGAAAATCAAGATTACGTTAATTCTGTTATTTCTCTCCTAAAATTGTTTCAAAAACATATTATGTACTGTTTATTATAATAAAGATTGTGATGTGAACCAGGCGAGCGCCATTGTTCCTGCTACTGAAAACTGCGCGCCAATTGAAACAGATCAACTCACAGTACGTGGCATAAGGCCGAAATTGAGGACTTAAAATTAAATTTTACGTATTTTTTTTTATGTATTTAAGCTTGCAGTAACGTAACTTTATAAAAATGTTTTTGTATATTTGTGGAATTTCACGTATATCCTGACAGTAGTACTCGAGACAATAATCTGTGAAACAATCAAGTTCTCGCTCCTAGTGCATCCTGATGGCACTTGTAGAAATCCACCGGGCCTGAACGAACCGAACAACAACCATTCAAACCAATATACTGTCAACAACCCCATTACTTCCGTTCCGAAACAGCGCATTAAAGCCGGCTGCGTTCTCCTACAACGTGCACAGTTCCACGCAGAGAGCGTGATCGCTACCATGGCAGCTTCAGAGCTCACCGCTGGACAGCCTGTCCATGGAAAATTTAATCATCGTCATTTAATTAATATATAGTTAAACATAAATGTGAGAGTGGTAACCCAAAAGCATGTGTGGTTTGGTTTACCATAGAGAGAGAGAGAGAGAGACTGGGAAGACGTGCGCGGCTTTGCTTGTAAAATAGGCGAGACATCATCTCTAGTGAAGTGTCCCACAATCCATCCCGCTAAACATCAGCAACAACCAACTCACCACAACACAGAGTCCAGCACAAAGCAAGCTAACATTACACAGAAAGCTTAAATACTATCTTGATAGTGTTAGGTTAGCTAATCTCAGATGATTGCTAGCTTAGCTAATATAGCAAAACTAATGCAGCCTAGCTTCATCACAAAACTCCTGGGCTTATCTGCTGGCTTGCCGTTTGCAGGTCAGGAGCGGGCAAGCCCGTGCCGGGATAACGTTATTCAGCAGGGGGCTGGGTTGCAGCTGGCTTGCTGGCTTAACCTTTGCTGCTCATTAACGTTATCGCTTAGTAAAATATATCTGAGTGGATATGTTAGTTGGCTATGGATAGCTTGCAAATTGCTTTAACCAAGCTTAATTGGTTGCTTCATAGTGATGGCTTGGTGGGGGATTGGCAAGCTAGTTAGTAGCATGGAGTCAATTAAGTCAAATTAAATAGGACATTGCAGATAGTACGCTAATCTCTTAAATAATGATTTGTCATTTCTTTCAAGTTTTGTCACTTTTTGGCCGATGTCATGGATGATGTGCTCGCTAATGCACTGTGTCACGACCGGTGAACAGTTCGCTGACTGCAGTTCACTTAAAACGGCCACTGGTGTCACAGTAAACAGTTTCTGAAAGTTAATATAGAACTTTAGGTAAAATCAATAACTGTTACATAAACACAAAACTATTATTATACAAATTTTTAACTTTGCCCACAACTGAATAAAATCGTGTATTGTCCCATAGCAACTGTAGATACATGGGAGGCCTCCTCACTGTGTTGTCTTGCAAATATTCACACATCCGAAATCTTTGTGACAGGAAAAAATACTGCTTGTTGGTTTATACTACTGCAGCTGGTGCTCTATATCTTACACTAATACTTCTCCTGCTCACTTTAAAAGATGAAATGTTTTGTGTGTGCTTTTTCAGCTGCAGGTTGTGTTTTGATAAGTGAAGCGTGGTGTTCGCAGCTGTGCGTTCAGTGTGCTGTGATTATTAATTCTCTGTGGACAATAGACCCAGAACATTGTGACTACCCTGCGAACCAACAGTGCCGCAGAACCACTGTCTCTGAGAAGCACTATGCACGGTCGGTACCATCAGCTTATTTATCCTGCTCGTCAGTGTTCCTTCTTGACTTCCTACGTGTTGCTGTTTAATGCTGTTATGTGCAGAAGTTTGACACTAGAAGGAAGTGTTTTCAATTCATCTACTGAAAGTGGAAAGTTTCTCTGTACTCATTGAACATCTGATTTTAAGGAGCGGGGTTTACCAGCAGGATTTATCAGTCCTGGTCCAGTATGCAACCTGTACAGTGTGATCCAGCAGGAAAACTTGAAATAACATTTGCATATTCAGAGATTCTGGGATTTAATTTTCTGGGATAATGAGGTAGAAGGAGTAGATAACTTTCTAACTTTTTTAAGTATTTAAATGTGGAAATTAGACAGAATTTTTTTCACTCTTCTGGAGACTGAATATCTGTAGAACAGTTGGAGGGCAGCAGGTCAGGGACACACTGGCTCTCTGAAATAATGATGACTTTGAAAATAAAGTGCTGACTCTCAGCTTTATTTGGCGGGTGTGTACACACGTCCTGCAGTTTTAGGGAATAGAAAGCAACTGAACCAGTACACATTAACTTGAATATATAGTAATCATATTGTCTTGCATATACTTATAAAGCATGTTTATGCATGAAAATGGTTCGTGCTACACTAACTGTTTATATATTCCTGTGTTTTTATGTGTTTATGATTTCCGAACTTGGTTTTGTAAAAGACAGTGTTGGTAGGCATCTCCTGCTATAATGCTACCAAGCAACTCTGTGCCGTGACAAAAAAAAATATTTCTAAGTATAGTGCAGTGAATGCAGTGGACCACTTAAATAAATGCATTGTTGCAAGATAAAACTTCTAATTTACTGAGTTAGATAAACCTTTTAATTGAATTGTCTTGACATAAATAAAACTAGTTGAAACAAGTTAATTTTTATGGGTAGTCTAATCAATTTAATTGTCTTTTGATTGTTGAAGGAAAGCTATTTCCCCTAACTCAATGTAGTACATTAGCTGAACATAATTACCATAACTCGTAACATTTTTTTGCACCAAAACATTTGTTTTTAGTGCGATAACAACATCTATAGTGTATAATACAGCATCAGTATACAGCACAAACTCCTCTAGAATTTTAAAATGCTCAGTATTGCACACTGAATGAGCTCATTACAATGACATATACAGTTTACGAGTTATGTAATGCATTAAAGCCTAATACCCATTTGCTCCCATTGGCTCTACAGGAGAACTCAGACAATAAATGAACATCAGTAACTTTAATAGGATTATAAAGTCATCCAAAAGTGATACCACTCTTCATTAATGTACACAGCAATTGCATCCATTTCTTCAGGATATGATTCTGGAGTTACTTAGTTTTAAATCAGTTTCCTGACTGTGTGAACAGAAGTCACTTGGTATCCTAAGGTGACTCTGACAGACCTGAATTGACATGCCCATTTCTAGTTTCTGTGTCTGTTTTTGCCTTCAGTCTGGCCTGCAGAAGTGAAACACACCATGTTTAATTGAATTGAGGTCAGTTTGAAAAGCTTGGCCAGTCAGTAACATTCCACTGGATGCCACTAAAAAGTCCTTAGTTGCTTTGTCTGTATCACAGCCCGCTCCTTTGTCCCAAACTGGGGGTGTGTGTTCTACATTACATCACATTAATTCAGCTGACACTTTTATCTGAAGCGACTTACAACAAGTGTTGTTTTACAATAGAAACCATATGTGTTATAAAACACAAAGAAATACAGAAAAGGGGGTGGGAGCTCATGTATTTACAGTCAGTGGGTGAGGCAATGTGAATATAACAACATTTAAGAACAGGAAGCGCCTTACAATCTCATCACATAGTAAAAGGGTCTCTGAAAGGAATCATGCTCATTATAAATCAGAGATCTTTACTGAGGTCTGTGTGAGGCCTCAGTGAGGATTTTGATATCAGTGTTATGCTATAATCCAAGATGTTTTCATCTCTATATTTCCTATGTTTGTGCTATCTTATAGATCTGGGGATCTATAAGTGAATCTTGCCTGATTACCTATTTACTATGTGGTGAAATTGTAATGCTTCCTGTTTTAATGTTCCTTTTTCATCATAGCGCTACATTTCCCAAGAGGTGGAGCTTCTGCAGCCAGGATGAACAAATAATAAAATTAAATAAAAAAATGAAAATAATAATAATAATAATAATAATAATAATAATAATAGTAATAATACAAGCTGTCTTTTTAAACTGCCACATTGTCAGTGTTAAAATGTATAGTCAAATGTGTCTTTCATGTTTTAAGATTTAATGTTAAATGCTGATTGTGATGGTTTTCTGATGTATGTTTGTTTTTGTGAACAAATTGTAGCATTCAGAGAAATAAAATCACACAGAAGTGAGGTAGAATTAAAAGAATAAAAGACCGCCATCAGTAAAAACAAGTACCAACAATTAAACAGATAAAACATATTGCAAAACTAACCGCACCAGGGCAAATTGTTTTAAACAATTAAAAGATCAAAAATTAAAATACCCATTGCAATACTAATACAATAGATAAGACATGATGGAAAATTAAACAGTGTGCTAGAATACATAAAAGGCTTTTTTAATAAGATATGTTTTAGGAAGTGATTTTAAAGATGTCACCGATTCAGCAAGCCTTAGACTCTTGGGCACGGAGTTCGGTCTCCTTTGGTCCTGAGCCTGGACTCAGGAACAGCCAGCAGAGCCCTGGCCGAGGATCTGAGACTGCGCCCTGGCTCATAGGAGTGCAGCAATTTAGCAATGTCGGTGCCGGCTAAACCATGAAGTGCTTTATAGGTCCAGGTGCAGGTCCATTGCTGTATTTTGTACGCTCTGATGAAGGTCAGCCAGCCTGAAAGCTTGCTAAATAAAGGGATATGGATCTAAGTGTGGCAGAAATCCACCCAGCACCATAACAAAGATTTAGCAGGGTAGGTCTTGTCCTCCTGCATAGCTATAAATGAAATAAAATAAAACTCACTGAATGCCAGTAAATTACATTTATATGCAACTGCTGATAAAACCAATCAATCCATAATCTATCCTCCCCGATGCCCTACCAGCTGCTGGCAGAATGAGTCTGCTGTCATACCTATTGAATGTGTTGTGTGTGTTGTAATGGCAAAAGTCAACATGAGTGCTGTGTGTCTTTTACAACAGAGGCTGAGCAAAGGAGTGAAGTCGTCCCTCCTCCTCTTCACCCTGGCCCAGACGGTCATCTCTGCCATCCTCTGCTTCCTCCTCTTCAGACAGAGACACAACTTCGGACAGTACACTGTAAGACTCCGACTCTTTCTCCTAATTAGCAAAGACCTGATTAACCTAATTCTTCTTTTTATTCATATTTTTACATAGCCTGGCATGACCTTAAAGAGTCCCTCTGCTCAACAATGTGTTTTTCTTATGTTTATGTCATCTAAAATGTTAGACCTTGGCTTTGTTGACTTATATGAGATTAATGAGATGTTTTCACATTCCTCTACGGAAGGGAGAGATAGCTGTGCACGTCCCTAAAATCCTAGATTCAAACATACCGTGGGCAAGCTAGATTTGGCATGTGACAAATTTGAAAAGCCAATCGCTGTCTAACGAAAACATGGAAACCTGGAACCTGGAGGAGTGAGACCAATCACACACTGGTTAGAAACCACACACTCAAAGTTCTGCCATTCACCCTCCCTTCATTGGATTTTGAGACTCTGTGTAGTTCAGGTGATGGCACGGGACTCCAGAGAGTTTAATTCGGATTTCTCAAAGGCATCTTGAGTTATAAATATGTGATAGGCCACGTCCACTTGCACCAATCGAAACGGCACTTGAGATTTTGGTGAATACTTGTCCCCAGAGCATGCACACCTAAATCATAAAACTCTTTCCACTGGTTTTTCAGGTACACATTTGTGGCATTTGTGGCGCCCCCTGGGGGTCGAGCTCAAAATGCTCGGGTACACGTCTTCCCACAGACTGAAGATATCTTTTATTATCTTTTCTCAATGTATGATGTTTTTAGGCCGATCTTGCTCATTTATAATAGGAATCTGTATCTTGGTCCCTCCATGGTGGATACCTGATTGATCGAGTAAAAAAGTACAGACAGCAAGAGTTAGCACTAGCATGGTGAAAGTTTTGACAGCAAACATGGCAGAAAGTGCAGTTTTTGGATGTAAACTTCCCTACTGTTGGGCGCCCGGTTACCTCAGTCTGTAGAGCTGGCGACCCATATACGCTGCAGCGGCTTCCCACTTCTGTATCACCTTCCTTATATCGGATGGATCTAAGGAGTAGAGCAGCGAGTAGGAATGAGAGAGAAAATGT